TTAACTGTGGTCAATGCTACAATGCCACTATGCGTGTTGTTGTTTTTATGCTTAGAGTAAGTGTTGACTCCATTAGCAACAATCATATGATGGTTACCTCTGATCTGCCTGCACTCCCAACATTAACCCCCCCAGGCTTCATTCTTTGAGAGCTGCTGTTAAGGGATTTATTTACAACCTCCACACAGTCCCCATCACTTTCTCTAGGCTGTCTCCCCTCTCCCCCCCTTCCTCTACTCTCGCAGGAGAATTAATTCTGCTTAACTAAGGATTTCCATAACCTACGCTGACGACTGGGCTTCATCGAGCCTCCTTAGCCCCGTGTACCCTTTGCCATTGAAGGCTCCCGTGTGTATTAAATGGGTTAAACCATTTGTTAGTCCTTTAATCATGTGGAGGAAAGAGGGGTGAGGGGGTGGATTACACAGTTCGACACATTCATAATTTTGGGTACTTATAAAACACAAAGTGCGAGAGGATAAAGCTGCCAGGAAAAAAAATAATCACACGGCTCACTGGGCCTCACTATTCACTGTAACAGCTATTTGTGTTTGAAAAGAACTATGATGAGCTATTGAGGGGAGAAAGCACAGAGGACGTAGACAACATTTCATGTCAGGCACACATAAGCAGGCACAATATGAAACCTTCATACATTAACTGAATTAGTAACACTGCATCTTGCCAAGGGCCGGCTGCTGGCAAGCGATTTGGAGTAGCTGAATTATATAATTGTAGCCGTGCAATGTTACAAGTTTGAACAACTGCAGATAATGGCTCTGGTGGAGAGGAGGGGAAAATTGAAATAGCTCAAATTTAGCATGCCGCCAGCTTGCACGACAGCAGACATGCAAGGTGGCTTTGTCACCATAGTTGAACACTTTAATCTATTACACCATGGAGCATAGTGATGCGCTTGAGTGAATAAGTAATCATCCGCTCTCGTCTTACTGTTTGTTATTGCCACCAGAAGTGCGGAGTGCAGCACTCCCCATTGGCTAACACGTCTGTGCTCTCTTTAGAGTCTGAGCACATTAGACAGCTAATCTTTGCATCTGCCTCAAGGGCCATATACAAAGACAAGGCAGTATGGATTGCATAGCACCTGCTTAAAGAAAACAATAGTGTCCCAATAGGTCCCCTGCTGACAGGAAGCTGTAATTCTAGAGAACAACTTCCTCCCAATCAAGCTGATCAAGCATGCAAATCAAACTCCACAGAGGGCCCATCCAAGATGTTAATTGAAAGCTTGTGTCAAAGTGATGGAGTACGGACACTGACAGTTGCTGAAAGAAACCCAGAGAGCACCAGCATGCCCTCATGTGCAGTACAACTGTGTATCTTCACATGCACAACCTCAAATCCAAGCACACAGCAAAGACCAATTTATGAGGAGACAAATATAAAAGGACATTGCACACACATACACACATATTCACAGGGCACAGCCCCCTGCAGTGGCTCAAATAAACAAGCCAATAGACGCCCGGTCAACTGAAACAAACTGAATAAACTAGAGTTCACACACAAACATGAACAGAACAAGCCATGCTCCAGATTCACCCAGAACCACATTGTGACTGAGAGTCCCAAAGCCCTGTTCAGTCTCAGCAGGCGAGCAGCCGAGTGCAATGCAACATCTGTGACACCTGACAGTTGCCATTACTAAAGCATTCATTACCTTAGAAACAAAATAATGCCTGGTCCACTCTGCTCCCCTGGATGGCTCCCCCTTAGCAACAAGCAGCAGGCAGGTTCATGGTATAATTGGCAGAGGGGGAGAGAAGGGGATGAAGAAGACTGGGTGATGAAAGCAGTGAAGCAGCGAGAAAAAGAGAGAGAGAAATAGAGAGAGAGAGAGAGAGAGAGAGAGAGAGAGAGAGAGAGAGAGAGAGAGAGAGAGAGAGAGAGAGAAGCTGGCTGGTCACTGCAGTATTCCTCTATTCCTCCTCCTCCTCTTCTTCTCTCTTCACCAGTCCTGCCTTGCCCCGGCAGTTCAGGAGATCCTCACATGTGTGCACCTCGTTCATCCCCCCTCTCCCTCTGTCTGCATGTGCTCGAGTCTTAGCGAGAGCGAAAGAGTGAGTGTGTGTGTGAGAGAGAGAGAGAGAGAGAGAGAGAGAGAGAGAGAGAGAGAGAGAGAGAGAGGCAGATCAGGTTGGAAAAGGGGGAGGGATGAAGGAATTATAGAGAATATAAAGAGGAAAATAGAAGGAGGAGAAAGACAGAGAGAGAGGGTGCATGTGTGCACGAGGCAGTGTTTATGTATGTGTGTGTGTAAGAGCGAGAGAGAGAGAGAGAGAGTGAGAGAGAGCAGTGGATGCACAGTGAAGAGGAAAGGAGGACAGAGAGATGCACACTGCAGCAGCGCCCACCGATGCTGAAAATGAGAAACATTTCATTAGGAAGATATTGAAATGCTAATATAAAAACAAGTTACTGAGCACACACAGTTGCAAGGCTATAAATATATATTCCAGACTCTTTGAGCTTTTCAATTTCCATTCAAAGCTTATGTGTGAGAGGCTGCTCATTGCTTGTTTCCTTAAGAAGGCTATGATCCAAAGTTAGACACATTTCCACAACTTACATTTGTATTTCCGAAGCTTTTATCTGCTCGCATTAAATTCCATTTTTGGTGCTTGAGGATGGCAAACATGCACTCTGTTTCTGTCTCCAGCTACTCCACTCTTGCATGTCTATGTTCTCCTCTTTCCCTCTCTCTTCAAGGAAACTCTGGAATCATTCAAGCTTAAATGGCAACCCGAACGAATGAACCTTTTTTCCTGCCATAAATGAGATCCCAAAAGCCCCCAAGGAAGACACTCCAGAAATACATGGCATTGCCAATTTGTGAATGCATGCATGGAGAGTGAACACACACAGACACACAGCCGCACACATACAGATGTTTGTGTTGACAGAACCGGTTCACCAGTTATCAAAGAAAGATCTTGCTTGCTTTTCTTCATTGTGTGTTCTTCCCTATTTCAGTTGTTTCAGAGGTCCTGGCTCTGTGAAGCCTCCTCTTCACTGTCCTTGAAAATATTCGAGGTGCTTCAACTATTCCTCACACACAGAAAAAACCTTGAATGAACATTCCATCAAGTGAAACAAAAGAAAAGCCCAATTCTTATAATTAAAAGTTCAGTATGTTCAGGATATGTCTTCTGGCGAAAGCAGATGAAGTCAGAAAACTCAAAACTGCTGTTCTTATTAAATGTAACCAAGGGAAACCAAGGTCACACACCCACATGAGTGGCGCACCCATTAGAGTGTGAAACTGTTCGTCAGCCCACGGTGCTTACCCCACACATTCCTCTAATACTTTTCAGCAGGAAAAGAGCAGGACTGTATATTATATCTCCCCCATCCCCCACATTAGAAGAGCTCTGCTATCGAAATACAAATTTGTCTACCATATAGAATTATGACATAACCACCCATCTCTCTGATTACACCAAACACACATGACCCACACTGCAGTGACCTGCAATCAGCATATCTTCCTGTCCCATGAGCAGCTCTGGCATTAAGGAGTGCCATCATTAGACAGACCGACAGACCGACAGGCAGATAGACGGACAGGGACTTCTCTAATCTGCTTTAAGGGGGCCAGCCCTGCTATAATCTGTATTAATACTAAATTATTAAACAGACTGTCAGTCACACCAATGCCAGAGAGCAACACTACTGGCCACACACATGACACCACAGAGATCCTGTCTGCATGTAAAATGACTGAAGGGGAGTGTTTATTAGCTGAACAAATGCATACAGTGGGGCTTATGCTGCATCTGGACAATATGGAGATACAGTGGAGACAGTCATTTACTGAAAGAAATGATCTGTCTTCCAACAATATTCACATGCCCATATGTACTTTGAAATGAAATAGTAAGATAACTATGATTGACCTGAATGGAATGGAACCTTAATTAGTATTATTGGTAACACGTGTTTATCCTACTATTGCATGTCAAATTGTTCCTTCTCTCATATACTGGCCGTGTAGAAATCCCTTCCTGATGCATTGTTAGTGCCGGGGGATGAGGGACAGTTCTGTTCAGCCAAAGTTAATAATACAAACAATACCTCTGCTCAACTTTGTGTTTAACAAGCAAAGGTTTGCATGCTAACAAGGCTAAACTGAGATGGTGAACCTGGTAAATATGAAATACTTCCTTAACTCTAGAACTGGGGAACATAGGATCCTTTGCCATGTTCCCATTATGTGCAATATAAGTCTGGGGAACATAGGGCCGACCCCCATTGCTGTAGACAGGCACTTGTTACTATCGCTCCACTGCAGCTCACTAAGGAACCTCTGTGGAAACAGGAGAGGGAATTCTGTACTAAAATGAGTCACATTTTTGGTGAGACCCACTAAAGCCTCATTAGCTTCAACGTAACAAATGCCTTTTTGTACAGAACTTGGACTGTAGATATGCTCCCCGTCTCTTCTGTTAGAATCACATTAGAAAGGGATCTCAAGCTACCAAGACCATCATACATGTGGCCATGTGAGTCCTATTTTAAGACAGAGTGAAAGAAATGTGAGCTTCTCCTTTAATCTAATTTTGACCCAATATCCAAAAAAAACATTGCAGAATAACTCTGAAAGACATCACACTCATTTCTCGGATCCATAATGCTCCACGTCTTCACCCTGGCGTCTCTCAGGTTATACTCATCCATCAATCTGTCTGATCTAGGCTTGTCTCTGTCAGGGCGACTGCCTTGTGTAATCATGCCTAAGTGGAAAAACAGCAGCTCTCTGTTAATCACAATACAACAGCAGGCAACCACCTCCTACCAGGCCACTGACAGGTATCCATTTACTCTTATATCCACCTCAGATGGCACATAAATTACTTTTCTAGCTAAAATATAAAGAGGATGTTTTTTTGGGGAAAAGTATTTCTGTTGGTGATATTAATGGTGTGTCTAAATCATATTGTGTCTGCCACAAATGCCAAAGACCACTCTGTGAGACAATGTGTAATTCAACAAAATATCTTTAATAGATATAAACATTTTTACACATCACAGCTCAATGGAAACAGAATCACATGCTGTCACACATGTTAAGAATGAAGGTGCAGGGGCGTTCTGCTGTGCTAGGGGCCTGGAACTCATTCGTCTGTCTCCGTCTCATGGTCTTTGTCCTGTCTTATCCCCAGTTTACCTTTCATATCGGTCCTTTCACTCTCCACTATATCCTAGCCAATAAAGCAGAAATATATCAAAAAATAATCTTAGAAAATAAGAATGAAGGTGCAAATTCAGATGAATATCAAATTCTCCTTATATACAGTTGCACAGTATCTGAGTACAAAAGGAGGCTTAAATAGGGACTTTATCTGGTCATCTATAGACCAAATTCAGGCCGGGCTTACAAGCAGATCTACACGCTACAGAACGCTCTGTAGCTGGAATTTCAGGATTCACACAATATCTTATGATGTAATCATATACTGAACAGTACCGATTTAATCTATTGAGAGAAATACGGATCAGATTGAGCCCCTTTTAGCATGCTATGGATGGAGGAGGAGGAGGTCAGTTCCATATAGCATTTTACATGTTGTCAACACTAGGTGACATGGTCAATCAATCCACTGCAGCAGGCAAGGCTGGAAATAAACCGTAAAGACTTTCAATAAAAATAAAATAAAAAAAAAAATAAGGAGAATTTGTATTTTGGATTAAAAATTAGTTTTCTCCTGTTGAAAACTTGGTTTAGATTTAAAGGATATATACTCTCTCATATAGGAGACTGACCATAATAATTACATGCAGACCTCTAACTGCATATGGCTGTTTTTCTTGGCCATCATCTTTGTCATAAATACTCTTTACATATCATATCCAGGACTGAGGTGAGAAAATAAACGTTAACATCATATATTTACAATAATCTGAATAAGTGACACTGAACTGTCAATCTCTATCTTTATGGCACCCATTTTGTTCTGTGTTGTTTTTTTTTTAAGATAATATATATATATATATATATATATATATATATATATATATATATATATTCTTTTCATTAGCTTGTGACCAGTAGTCCTATACAAGTTTTACTTGCTTTTAACCTTCTAGTACTTAAACATAATACACTTGTACAATCTTATTACGTAGGCAGTACAGAGAGGCAGTTGACCTTACAGTGTTTACAGTTATGTGCTATGCAAAGGGTCTGTCTGTCTGTGTCTACCTACCCACACTGCTACTGAAAAAGCAAAGTGTCTTATGGGGAATGACACATCCCATCATCTCATATAGCTTCTTTTCTTTTGGTTAGTAATAAAAAATAATCAGTGCTGTTATCACTGAATTGGTGAGTCTGAAGAACGTGTAAGCACCAACTAATTAACAACACGCTGTCACCTAACTCTTGGAAAGAGTCGACCTCTATCAGAGGAATATAGGACTGCTTTCACCAACTCTTTCATCGGTTGAACACATTTTAAATTGTGTTGGAGCTTTTTAAATTGGAAATCTGTTCACTTGTAATTAGGTTAGCTGGGGAACTAAATGGGGACAGTAACTTTAAATCCCTTTAGGTTAGTTTCAACATCTTGCCGTCTGTGACATGCAGGGATAACAACAATCCATTAAATTGGACACAAAGCATCATATTTGTGAAATTCAAAGGAAGGGAGTGCATGCTGATCAAAACTGACACACAGTCGCACCACTGCTCTTTGTCTTCTATTCCCCTGTTCTTTCCCAAAAATAATGTAGTCTTTCATGGTGATTATACCACAGATTCACAAGGCTGTGGAAGGATGACATGTAAGTCCATGTTGGCACTGGTTTGTAAAAGCCAGAGAGAAACAGTTCATGTCGTGAGTTTTCAGAAGTAATTCTGTTGTAAGTTCAGAACCGAACAACCGAGTTTCAGGTCAGTTTGAGTAGTGGTCAAACTCCTAAAGTAGAGCAGTCGGCAGCTCTGTGCATCAGTTCATGTCGATGGTGTTAAAGACCCACTCTGTGAACTTCTTGAGCTTGGCTGAGGCGCTGTAGGACTCCTCCAGGAGACGCTGGTTGTCTTCTCGCAAGCTCTGGATCTGAGCCTGCAGTGATGCCTTCGCATCTTTCTCCTGGTGGTGACAAAGACTTTTGTGAGCAAAATGCTGTTAGATCTTGACATTAAAACAATTAATACATTGGATATATCACATATTGTCACTCTAAATCTATGTTTTTGTTTATTTTATGTTACTTGAAATAACATTTTCCAGGAGGAGCTCTCACTCTTACTCAACAATAACTCACCTTCTTCAAGTCATCCTGTAGCACCTTCACCATTGACTCCAGCTGGCTGACCTTGCCCATCAGGCAGGCTGGAGTCTCTCTATGAAAACAGACAACCAGGAAATTAGTTGGTAGAAACACTGAGAATTCAGAGTGAAGCAGTGGTTAAAGCAGGTTGGCTTTTTCATATACTGTGGAATAGAGGTTTACAAACGCTTTGCTGATTTTACTGTCTAGCCTGCAGTCAACCAGAGCGGAGGACTAATTAATTATATCAGCTGCAGTAGTGTTTGACTGGAGTGAAATCTGCAGGGTCGTCCCTGGCATAGTGCTGGACACCAGTGGATAGAGCAAACATTGGTCTCAGGCCATGACCTAAGGGCTCTTACCCAGGCGATGGCTGTCTCAGCGGGGCAGCCTGAGGCTCAGCCTGCTGGGGGCTGGTGGCTGCTGTGCTCTCAGCCATGGAGCTCTCCTCTTGGGCTGCTAGGAAGACCAGCCTCTGCTCTGAATAAAAAACAGTGAAAAGACTCATTATTTGACCTGGAGAGAGAACAAATACAGACTAACAGTGCCCTCTTCTGGTGGGAGTAAAGATTACAGTTGTTTTTTTTCTGCCAAATTGTCCACTGAAAAATAATATTTAATAATAATAGTTAAAGTAATTAACCTTCACTTCCAATGACGTCGAGGAGGAAATTAAAATTGAACATGTGCCTACCCTCAAAGGCCTTGGCAGCGTCTACCAGGTGAGCCCAGTCCAGTGGGCCATCTGCCCCAGTGTCAGGCAGGGGCATGAGGACAGGGTCCTGCAGCTGCTGTCTCTTCCTCTCCTGCTCCAGCTCTGAGCTCTCTGGGGCTGACAGGTCTCCTGGGAACGGGACACAGCAAGAGTAAAACACTGAACAGCATGTGTATCTGTTTATCTATTTTTATCTGAAGACTTACAATGTATTGAAATTCACATTACTTTTCTAGCTACAAACAAAGGTCCCCAATATGTATCACATTCCAACCTCCTCTGTGATTAGCTATAAAAACTAAAGATTTACCCAGCGATTTGTGTGAGGCTCGCCGGCTTGGTCCATGGCGAGTGGTGGGTGAGCGTGGCATGGTGGAGCAGCTGAACAGAAGGTCGGTAGGCGTGTCACGCTGTCCACTGGAGGATGGCTCCCTCTGCCCGCCATAAATACTCTCATCTGACAGGGTTCTCTGGAGGGAGCGACGAGTGGGTGGTGGACCTGGAAACAATGGCTTTGGATAGGGACAGAAACAAGTGACAGGACACAGGTAAGACAAAGTGAGACATATTGCAAATGGTATTTAATTGGAAGAATCACTTGCAAATAATCACAAAGTTAGTGTATAGGCTGCTTTGCTAAAGCTTGCATTTGTTCTACTACCACTAAGAGTTTCAACCATTTATCCATTACGTCTAGCTATTTTACCTTTTAATTATGGGGACAGTAACTTTAAATCCCTTTAGGTTAGTTTCAACATCTTGCCGTCTGTGACATGCAGGGATAACAACAATCCATTAAATTGGACACAAAGCATCATATTTGTGAAATTCAAAGGAAGGGAGTGCATGCTGATCAAAACTGACACACAGTCACACCACTGCTCTTTGTCTTCTATTCCCCTGTTCTTTCCCAAAAATAATGTAGTCTTTCATGGTGATTATACCACAGATTCACAAGGCTGCGGAAGGATGACATGTAAGTCCATGTTGGCACTGGTTTGTAAAAGCCAGAGAGAAACAGTTCATGTCGTGAGTTTTCAGAAGTAATTCTGTTGTAAGTTCAGAACCGAACAACCGAGTTTCAGGTCAGTTTGAGTAGTGGTCAAACTCCTAAAGTAGAGCAGTCGGCGGCTCTGTGCATCAGTTCATGTCGATGTGGTGTACCACTAAGAGTTTCAACCATTTATCCATTACGTCTAGCTATTTTACCTTTTAATTATGGGGACAGTAACTTTAAATCCCTTTAGGTTAGTTTCAACATCTTGCCGTCTGTGACATGCAGGGATAACAACAATCCATTAAATTGGACACAAAGCATCATATTTGTGAAATTCAAAGGAAGGGAGTGCATGCTGATCAAAACTGACACACAGTCACACCACTGCTCTTTGTCTTCTATTCCCCTGTTCTTTCCCAAAATAATGTAGTCTTTCATGGTGATTATACCACAGATTCACAAGGCTGCGGAAGGATGACATGTAAGTCCATGTTGGCACTGGTTTGTAAAAGCCAGAGAGAAACAGTTCATGTCGTGAGTTTTCAGAAGTAATTCTGTTGTAAGTTCAGAACCGAACAACCGAGTTTCAGGTCAGTTTGAGTAGTGGTCAAACTCCTAAAGTAGAGCAGTCGGCGGCTCTGTGCATCAGTTCATGTCGATGTGGTGTACCACTAAGAGTTTCAACCATTTATCCATTACGTCTAGCTATTTTACCTTTTAATTATTAGTTTGAACTATTTCAACTGTTTATCCATTACTCTTAGCTATTTCAACAGTATATTCATTCCTTTTAACTAACTATTTCAACTGTTTATTACTTTTAGCTAACTAAATCAACTTTTAACTATTACTTTTAGTTAACTATTTAAGTTGTTTATTACTTTTAGCTAACTTTTTCAACTGTTTATTACTTGTAGCTAACTATTTCAATTGTTTATTTATTACTTTTAGCTCCCTAATTCTACTCGCATGCTACCTAGTGACTACAACTGACTAAAGTTGAACGGCAGCTAATTGCAAATAGAAATTGTAATCCTATTTCATTTTCTTCAACACATAACAAAATAAAATCTTCATTTCTATTTTTTAGTTCAGTTTGGTTGGGTTAATTAGTTAAGCTTTCCACGTAACCCCTGGAAACTGCAGAAGTACCTCTTGCGATAGAAGGACACCTGGTCAGAAATCACTGTACTGTGTTTCTAGCATCAGTATAGACAATAAGGCCACAGCCTGTCTCAGTACCTTCTCTTCGCTTGTAGTAGGTGGAGGGCTGTCAAGTGTGATGAGCTTCTTCAAATCTTCTTCCAGGCTGGACTTGGCAGTGTGCCGCTGGGGCGACTGGGAGCCCCGGAGATTAGCCCTGAGCTGTGGCTGACCACCGAGCAGACCATCACTCTGGTGCCTTCTGGAGGTACAAGTAAGGTTCAACTCCACATCCAAATAACACAAATTATATAGAAAACCAGGAAGCAAAGCATGTCTGTTACTGAAGGTCATCAATTCAAATCCTGGATGAGAATATGGGAACGATAAGGAGCTGCGGCTACTCTCTCAAAATGTGACACTTAATTGCTTCAACAGGAAAAGCTGTGGTTTGTCGAACAGCTGTACAGTGTGAAACCAGAAGTAATCATCAACCACAAATTGTGCAATCGCCCTTTGGGCCAAATAATGAGACACATGCTGCTTTGAAAAAGGGTAATTATGTTTAGTCACCCTTTTGTGGGAACCAAAAGATTTAGTTTCAAATGCAACAACACCACACGGTGGCAGTGTTGGCCAAATTAACATAAGCCTTAATATTAGGTGAGCAAGTCAGTGGCTCCTTTCCCCAGTCTCTCAAAGATCAACACCACAGACAGCAGGACGCATTTCTACACTGAATGTTCATTTTCACAACACGTAGCACTGCAGGGAGACACAGTTTTAAACATCCACAGATGTTTAGTGTAAACTACTCCTATCTTACTTGCGAGTGCTGCCAAAGTCCACAGAGTTGACAGTTCCCCCAGGTTTCCTCCAGCCAATCAGGTACTTCGAGGTCGCTCCTTGACGGGGGTAGAAACTCTTGCTCCCTGGGGACTGACAGTTCTGGGACGTGGGTGAGGTGGCCTCAGCAGCTGCCTCGTCTTGTGGTGACACAGGGCTGCAGCCCTGTCCCATCGGACTGCCTGAGTGGCCAGAACTGAGAGTGCTGGAAAAAGAGGGGAGGGAGGTGAGACTTATGGGTAAAAGGAGGCATCACAGACTTATATATTAATGTAATTATACAATATGCAAGCACCAAGGGAAGATTAAGTGGCTGCAAAAGTGGCAGTACAGTAGTATTAATTTGTAGGTTCCATTTTATTTTTTACTTTGTTCAATTAGCATGACTGATGAATGATATATTCATCAGTCTTTAATGTGACTGAAAATGAACTGCCCCAGATGGCAACTTTTTTTCCAGTTTCTAGCAGTTGCACATATATAAACACAAAATAAACACGTCCCCTCACTACATCTCTTTCTGTCGCTGCGGATAGGATCAACTGATGAATTTATAGATAAAAATAGGACACGATGTCCTTGCACTCCATTTCTTCAAATAACATTCCTCGGCAGTTTGACATAAAAGCTTTAATTTTCAAACAGCAAGTTCTGTGTCTGTATGCTAGTGCACATGTGCGTGCACATACTATAAAACAAAGCTGCCAATGTACAGGTCTGGAGGAACTGAGTTATTTCTGGCTGAGTGAAGAAGAGAGGGAGGAAAGCTTTGGTTGATTCAAAGGAAGTGGGATTTAGAAGAGGGGAAACAGTGCTGAGCTCACAGCCTGCATTTCTAGCAACTTCAAGCACTTCCTTTCTATCATGGGCACAGGGAGACGGAGATACATACAAATGCAAAACCACACACACACACACACACACACACACACACACACACACACACACGTTATTTCAGTCTTCCCCTCTCCCTTTGTTAATGCCAAAGTGCAGAGCTTTGGACTTTTCCATCTAGGATGGTACAAGATATATTGGGACTACAATGAATCACTGTCTGTTTAATGAAACATTGATGCAGTGGCAAAAATTCCTCAGCTGCCTACAGCTGACGGGAACAGAAAAGCCGCACACCTGGAGTGGGAGGCGGCATCACTCAGGTTGTAGGAGCCATTATCAGGAACTAGGGGAAAGGCAGATGGACTCTTCGCTGGGATTTCACTGCCTCCAATGGTGACCAGAGAGTCTGATGTCGGAGGTGGAGTGTCTGTGGCCCTCTGGCTGCCTCCCGGGTCTTCTTGCCAAGAGATTTTGTCTTTGGCCCTGAAGGCCCCAGTGGAGGAAGCTGTGCTGCTTTGCGTGGCAGTGAAGGAGGTGGCATCAATGCCGCTGTCAGTGGAGGCGCCCTGAAGATAGCCGTTGAGCTCAAGATCACTCCGCACTCCTGAACGTGAGCCCACTTCGTACCACTTCTCATCGCTGTGGGCGGAGCTGGAGGCGTTGCTCGAGAGTGTGTTGCTGCTTGACTGGCTGGATGAATACGGAGCGTCCGGCTATTCAGAGATGATGAATCAAATTAGCATTTTCACCAACATTCTATCGAATAGGAGCGAGGAAATTACATACAGTATGGTGCTTGTTGATTCCAGCTCACCTTAGTGCTTTTGTTGGGAGACATGTGGCTGCTCTGCTCTGACGGCTGGAGGCGAGGAATCACAGCCTTGGAAACCACAGTGTCTGTAGGAAGCAAAGCAATATGGGTACTGAGGTCTGTAGACAAGTGATAGCAGAGGATTAGTTAAGTTTTGCTATCGCTAATATGAGACCAGAGTTATGAGTTTGTCTTACCTGTACTGGTTTTATCCCCCAGTCTGCTGGCCACCTCTCCCTCCCCAGTTCGGGACCATCCAACACCAGTGCTAGAGCACGCTTTGACCCCATTGACTCCCTCACCTGCTGCATGCCGCACAGATGACACAGGGGACTGGCAGTTGTTGTTATTAAACCTAGAGGGGAGATAAGGAAGGTCACCTATCTTGCCAGGTAGTGCAGCAAGCCAATTTAGCATATTTAACCCATAGCTAAGAGCAGAACTTACCCATCGGGCATAGACTTCTGCCTCCAGTGGTTGGTGTCTGTGTAGGAGTGGCTGGAGGGGGAGTTTGTGTTGTGCAGTGTGCGACCCATCACGATGGAGCAGGCCAGAGCGTAGTTGTCGTTCCCTGGGGAATATCTGTGACGATGCAAAAGTATGTCATTAAAGGCAAACTGTAAACTGCTGTCAGACGGCTGTGTGTTCAGCATTATATTTATTTTGTGACCTTTTGGGGTTGAGGGGTCGCCCGTCGCTGGACACACTTCGGGGAATAGCAGCAGAGTTGCGGTCACTGAAGTCTGAAGGAGGAGCCTTGATCAGTGTTCCCCCTGTGCCAGCAGCGCGTGTTTGAGGGCTGGAGGAGGTGCGTGGCCACTTGTTGTTGTTGGTGGGGCGGAAGGGGAACTTTAACTCATAGGGCATGCCCTCCTTGTGGTTCTTGTAATCCACAAGGGGCATGTGGTAGATTTCTGAACAGCCTCTGTTGGAACATGAAGCGTTCACAGTCAGAATAGATTAGAGACAGCCACAGACAACAGCATTACGTTTCTCTTGCATCTATGGATCATCTATATCCACTGTACCTGCGTGGTGTGGAGTCCTCATGAGGGGGAATGATGACCACCTTGACAGTCACAGAGGTTCTGAGGAGGTCGATCATCTGCTCGTGAGACAGTGAGGCCACTGAGACCTTGCAAATCTCCACCAATCGGCTGCCCTGCCTGAGCCCCGCCTGCCAAGCATAACCATAGGGCTCCACCTCAGCGACAATGCCCTCAAAGTTGACGTGAAAGCCCAGCTGGCCCAGGGCATTACGGCGCAGGGTCATCTCTGTGGTCTGACTACCCTTGGTCAACAGCTACAGAACAGACAGAGTGAGGGAGAGGAGGTGCAGAAGGATGAATAAGAGAGAGAGAAGAAATGCATAATGTGTAAAACTTTTATACTTTTTTTTTTTTTTAAACCATCAGGTAAATTAATATACTGTCTTACACATTTTAAAATGCAAGTCTCACACAAGCTGAGGCACATATTTCAATCACATTAGATGAATACTAAGCACTTTAATTCAAATTATTCTCTCCCATAATAATTGACTGCCTTTCGACACCCTGTCTAGCTCTTCTTCTACCTGTGGGAAGTTAATTGAGAAGTAAACAGTAGTTAGTACAGCCCGGGAGCAAATCACAGAAGGAGCGGAGTTCCAATTAGCTACAGTTTGGATGCATGTCATGATGCCTAAAAGACAGGCCATGGAAAAAAAAACAAAAAACACATTCCTGCTTTACAAAGAAGGGCATGTGCCAGTACTGGTAGCAGGCAACAGTCAATCTTTACTTTGCTTACCACCAACTAGAACTGCAGTGTCAGAAGAGTGATCCAAAAGTCCAATCAAAAAAAAGCACTGACTTACCTACACTACGTTGAAACCCTCAGTAATGATATCATATCACCAAATTACTATGTATTATCCTTAGCATGACTTATAATCATAGAGTCAACACAACAGCTGTGGCTTTTTGGTGACTGTATAATTTCAGGCTACACCCATATGTTGCTATAATAACATCAACAATACTTAGTTCTTATTTTTTCATACTACTGTTGTCAAGGAAGTGGACAGATGAAATATCATGCACTTACACAGGACTGGAAGTCACTGATAAAAGTGAAATAATTCACTAAGCACTTTTTGATTTAGAAATGTAGGTTCATTGTTATCTGTATTGACTAGGTTTTCCAGATATATGACTATAATGTAATGATAAAAGTAATATCCATTCAGATAGTCAGACAAGGACTGTGGTGTTCATCACAAGTGGTTTGTCAGAGATGGGGTGTTTGGCTCCGTGTAACCTCTGATAACTACGGCAGATGGTGTGTGATAATGAGATGTAGATAGACAGTAGTGGAGTTCTACTGACCTCCAGTCTTTTGACAACCTCTCCAAAGTCTTCTGTGTTGTTATTGATGGAGCGCAGTGATACACTCTCGCCACGCTCATAGTAGATCTTCATGGAGGCGGGGCTCCCCGTTGACCAACCAATCACATCACGCGTGGCGCAGTTAAAAACCACAGTTTTGGCCTCTTGATCCAACAGGATGATGAAGTCATTTGAAATGGCCAACAGGCATTCCCGTTCAGCACCGGCTACCTGATCTTCAGCATGAACCTGCCAGGTCACGGCTCCCAGGCTCCGAAGCTCCGCCCCACTGTATGGACGCACCTTCTCCCGCCGTTTGTGTGCCAGAGAGATGAAGGGGAACTTCCCAGTGGGTTCCACTGGAGTACTGGTCACATGACGCTCTGCCAAGTCCCGCAGATACTCCTGCCGTGTGCGTGTTGCCATGGCACCAAACTTATCTGACTTGTGTGCTGCGTTCTCGGCGTTGATGACTTTGCCCAACAGGAAGTCCCTGAAGACAGTGGACTTGGGGAAGGTCACGCCCTTAGGGATTGGTGGGCCAAATGAGGGAACGTCCTGGGAACGGGTGACAGCCACACTGCAGAAAGGAAAAAAGAGGGAGCATGTAAATAAATAAACATTACAATCCATATCTGTAAACAACCTTTAAGAAAATATCGATATTGCGATATTTTGTTTTGTGATAGTTCATCGATTTTCAAAAATGCTTGTGTTTAAACCCCTAACTACTAGATAGCAGTGTTGTAAACATAAACTGAGGACTATGATGTTGGATGTTACAGGGACTGTGATAAATACTAATTCAGATACTCAGATTTTATGCATATGGTGCTGTTTTCTGACAGTTTTCCTAAAATTTGATAAAAAATAAAAATAAATCACAATATGTTGCCTTACTTACAGTATCACAATATATCACAATATATTGAATTGTAACTCCTGTATCGTGATACTTATTGTATCGCCATATTCTTGCTAGTAAATAGCCCTAGTCTTTATAGGCCTGCAGCAATGCACTTCGAAAGTACGGTTTGGTTTGGTTTGGTTGGATTCAGTCATAAAGCAATACAAAAAATGGTTGGAAAAATATACAGGAAGACTAAAAAGACAACAGTGTAACTGTGAAAACCACTGCAAGGACAAACAGCATATGGGCTTGTCAAAAAGCATAGTAGAGACATCTTTACATAGTTTCCCCTAAGGTGTTGTTGCCTTTGACCTGTTTCACTTGTGAGTATAAAGGAGGGCGTTAGAATTCCTACGGGCAAGGCTCTCCTCTTGTTACCCTCTACTGCTCCTATTCCATTTGCACACAATGGCTGTCCTTGAGTTGGATTACTATAAATTAGTGAACAGGTGCAGGTACTGCTGCCTCATACCTGTTGTTCATAAGAAAATGGGCTCGGCGTGGAACACATTAAGCAAAGTGTGTTTTCAAACATATTGGGATTAAATTGCCATTTGGGAAAAATTGCTTGGGTGTCAAATCAGTTGCTAGTGTGTTTATACCCCACACCCTGTGTACTTTCTACTGGAAAGTATGAAGGTTACATGGAGGATATAACTGATTATGTATACAGCAGTAGCATATACATTAAAAGCCCATGAGAACGGGAAAACTGAGACGTGGTCTCGGAAAAGCTGATGTGACAGTTCTGACACGTCCCCATCCAGTCCATTAAACAGATAACACAGCCATTGCCTGTAGCAGAAATGTTGCAAACCATGCCTGACTAAACATGGCGTATAAATACTATACATCCAATCACAGTTGACAGGCCAGCTCCCAGTGCTGACATCCTGCCACTCTCTGCTACATCATGGTATGGAGAAGCATTTCCGCGGCTAGGGCTAGCAAACACAAATGGCCTATGTTTCCTAAACAAAGGTCTAGTTATGCAATCTGCCTTGCTGGCCCCGTGTGACTTTGAGACAGCGGTTGAAAGCAGCAGATTAGCACCCCGCTGGCCCCGGGCCACTTACTCCTCTAATGCTCCGGTCTGGCTCAATATGACCTGAGCATTATCCAAATCTCAGCAGCAGGCAACAACAGGCTATTAATAACTGGATGACTCAACAAATCATAACATGCTCTTTATTAATACAGATTAGAGAAGTAAGACACCCCATTATTGACATGGTCTTACACAAGATATAAAGACAGTCATATGGAATGATGACAAACAATAATCTCTCTGGGAGAAATCAAGATTCAAGCTAGTATGTGTGCATGTTAGTGTGTAGTGTGATGTGTGTGTTTATGTTTGCAAATGTGTTAGTAGTGATCAGCTGAAATCCACAGAGCTTGGTATCCAGTAAGTGACAAAGACAAATCACAGCATCAACTACTCTGCGTGAGTACACACACCACAACCTACGAACATCAACACAAACACCTAAAACTTACCTCCTGGTTTCACCAATAAGCAACCATGCTCTTCAAAGTATTACTGCACAATATCCTGAATCTTTGAGGCAATCAATGCAAGGAAACAAAAAGATTTTCCGGGTCAACAATAACTCGATTCTGTTCTGTAGTTACAATCCCACTCTCAAGATATACCACTCAAATTCTTGCAGACTGTGTTCTCTTGTCCAGATGCAGAATATTTTCCAAACCATCAGGAAAAAGTATCCATGGAAAGACTAGTGAAAAAACAGTCAGGAGTGAAGTCTTAACCTTTGGTGCCTCAATCCACAGAATATGAGTAGAAGTCAAAGGCTGGGTGTGTGTGTGAATGTCTCTGGGTGGGGTAGCTAGATTGTACTCAAGGATTCCGAGTCCCGCGCCTCTCCATTTCAACCATAAGGCAAACCAGGAGAGCCAGCATTTCACCCCCTCTCTTTTCCCAGAGTATAAACCAAAAAAAATGCCCCCTTTAGGCAAAAAGAAAGGTGTCCACTCATTGATGGGAATGGAGTAGCTGGTCGGAGACAAAAAGAAGGGCTTGAAATAAATAAGCCCAAATTTGACAAGGGAATCTGAATCCACAGAAGGCTGGCTGGACCCGTCCGCTCCTCAGATGGACTCTGTGAGCTCTGAGGGACTCTGTGAGCTCTCAACAATCCTCCCTGCTCACATGCATGTCCGGGTGAAGAGAGCACTTCATGTGCATGGCGCTAACTCCTTCAGACCATTCCAGCTCACACTGCCCAAAGGCAAAGTGGCAGGCAGGGAGAGGAGGAGGAGAAATGGGGGAGGCTTGTATTATATGAGTGTGTGAAGAGTGGGCCTTTGAGTGAATTAGTGCGCATGGGAAAAAGTGTGTGCATGTGTGTGTAACTGTGCGCAAGTGAGCACGAGAAAGGAGGTAAAAAGGAAAAATGGGAGTACAATAGTGACAGGGAGCAACTATGTGTGTATAATATCTGTGTATGCAGAGCACATAGAGTGTGTGTGTGTGTGCGGTGGGGTAGCGATGCATAAGTTTGAACATTGCCACGGTAGTTGCAGTCACAGATCATCTCGAGGCCAAGAATCAGCCACCGGAGGAGGAGAGGAGATCTCCCATCAGTTTGACAGCTACTGCAGGGCCAATCTATTCTATTTGACCATAATCAAACAAATTTATGCTTATGCAGACATGCAGAACACATGAACACACACACACACAATCCAGCCAGAAGGGACAGTCACGCAACAGGCTTTTATGTTTGACCCATGCCTTCCGGTCAATGCTTTTGTCTTAATGCTACTGTAGCTACCTGCGTAAAAACAACACCGCTGGTAGCACTGAAAGTAGTGTGGAGCTTTTAAGGGTCCCATAAAAGGGTCCAGTTCTGCACTGAGATGGGAAGTTAAAACCAGATTTTCATTCAACATTGCTACTGGGTTTAGTCAGTCTGGCCCACTTAAAATTGTAATGAGTCTCCTTAGTCTCCAGACACGGTCATATATATTCATAGCTGGTGGGCTAACCTTAACCTCAGTGTCAGTCGCTGTTCCATACTCATAATTCTCTGAAACCTGTACTTATCCAGGAAGAAGATTTGTTCAGCACACATGCCACACACACACCAACAGTTCTTTTCTTACATGTGTCGAAGAAAAAGGCTTGTTTCCATTGTGATCCGTGAAGTTTAGCTATTATTCTGCCATTCTGTTATCTCTGCTGTTTAAATACAATGACCCACCTGTAGCATGTGTTGTCGGAGCACGGATTGTGCACTCGTACGATGATGAAGACATGTTGAAAATGAGAGCGAATGGCCTTGGGGGTGAAGGGGTGAGCACCGGGCTCCTGGAACACGATGGTCACTATGTCGTTCCCTATGTGGCGCTTCCTCAGCAACTAGTCATTGGAAAACAACAAAGTCTTAAATTGGAGAAGTATGTGACTTGAATCTGAAAGCAAAGTCATACCAAGCACACGGTACATTCCAGTTAAAGACAAAACAAAAAACAAAACATCGCACTTGGAGACAATAAAAGTTGGATGGGAATCAAATCTGATACCTGATACATGTCATATCATGCATTCCCTTCAATTCAATTCAATTCAGTTTTATTTGTATAGCGCCAATTCATAACAGAAGTTATCTCAGGACACTTTTCAAATAGAGCAGGTCTAGACCGAACTCTTTAAAACATTATTTACAGAGACCCAACAGTACCACCATGAGCAAGCACTTGGCGACAAGGGCAAGGAAAAACTGCCTGTTAAAAGGCAGAAACCTAGGACAGATCCTCCGGCTCTAGGTGGGTGGTCGTCTGTCTCGACCAGTTGGGGTGAGAGAGAACACAACACCCTTCATTTAAAGTTTTCTTCGGTACATCTGTTTCCAAACAAAGGAGTTTTCCATTTCCTGAACACAGCTAATAGTATACCACCAAAGATGGGCTCTCCATTTTTACCTGTTGTTTGTTGTTGGGTGTGTAAGGCAGCAGAGTCGACACATGGAACATGAGCTCATAGTCCTTGTAAGTCGTGTACAGGGAGTGGGTGCCTGTGGAATCCGCTGCAGGAAAAACAGTACAAGACCCGTTTTACAATTACCGTCATTCATCTCTCTCACATGTGTATTCTGTGTGCTCACAGTTTTCTGTGTAAGACAGGATGCAATTTCACCGTAGCCCAAACAACAACAACAGTGAACTGGGGATCAATGTCAGCCTGGATAAGATGACTGACAAAACCACAGCTCAATCAAGTTTTTCACTCAAGTGTCATCCTGTAAGTGGAGCCAGAACAATGGACAGTGTCTACATTTTTCAATTCAATAAATGCAAAAAATTGACTAAAAGCAAGATAAAGAACCAAAGTAAACGCTATAAAGTATAATGCGATATAAAGGAGGGGAAGCCTAAAATGTCAAAAGAGTCAAGCCCTTTGGTTTATTGTTAAAATGAAAGTGAAACTAACTTAATAATACAATAGTAATACAAAGTTGGGTTAGGCATAACTACTACAGTGTTATGTGTGATCAGGCATATAATAATTTGTTACTTTAAAGATGCATTACTGGGTCACTAATGAATAAGTTCTATATGTGTAAGATCTAGCAGTGTGTTTGGGAGTTGTTACTTTTGGTGTCCAGCTGGGCTCTGTACTTGGTGAAGCCCTTGAGGCGAACCTTGTCCCCCAATAGTTGGAGGAACTCTTCCAGGGCGGGGCCAGCCGTCTCGTTGTTGTACATTTCCTCCTCAGTGCTCTGGCCCGCTCGGCAGTACATCACCCCCACCTTCACCTGAAAACTCAGCTGGGGGGGCAGCAAAGAAGCAGAACCAATGTTTTTTTAACAGTTCATGTCAGGACAGAGTGCTACGCAGGAACTAAAACAAAAACAAATTCCCTTTCTGGGCAAATACAGAAAAATAATTGAAGGCGCAAAAGGTCTGGTTCTGTAGAATAACACTTTTTAGTCTTTTACAAAATCGTGCTTTATCCTCCTACCCCTTGTTCATCCAGTTTCATCAGCTGCTCTGTGACTTTGGGTGTGTTGAGGGCCAGTCTGAGGCAGGACAGATCCAGCTCAGGGAGAAGGAACTCCAGTACCTCTTTGATGGGCAGCCCTCGGGTGGTGCCGTGCTTAGATGTGGAAGGCACTGCATCCTCCAGGATAGAACCTCGAAGAGTTGTCAGCTGAATGCACAGAGATTACAGAGAGGAGTGTGAGAACAGAAAGAATGCAACTCAGGAATCCTTGATGTGCTCTGAACTTTCTCCTGGAGATGAAACACACTGATAGCAAAACTTGCCAGACACCAGGAGAAAAATAAACAAGTCTCTGCAGGTTTAAAAGTAAAACCATCCTCTTACTGTACCCTTAAAAAAGCTGACATAAAACAACAACACAATTATGACTCGAGGCCTTGGGTAAATAGAAAGTGGAACTGAGGAAGAAGAGGTGGGCGGGCTAGTCCAAGCATTCTGTGTACACAAAGTCTGCATTGTGCTGGGCTCTGAGAGTGAACTCAATCACTCGGCTATCACAAGCAGCTGGAACGGACCAAGACTTTCTCTCCTACTAGCTTGAGGCCGTGCAGGGCCTGTGTTTACAATGGACCTGTATTCCCCATGTTTGGAAGGTAGGATGGGGGGCGGGGGTCCTTTGGTACTTCAGTCTAAAGTGCGGGGGTTTAATCACATGCACCTGTTCTCCTTTAGTCCACAACAAACACCCTCAGGCAGGTGCCTCAACCTCAGTCTGAGAATGTACAGTACGTCCTTTTAATAAATCCCATAACCAAAAATGTAGAACTCAAAATCCCAAAACCAAACACAGAAGACTGGGAGCAAACACTGCAACTAAATATGAATGTCTATTTTTACTGAAACACCGAAGTAAAGCTCTCCACACAATGGTTTGAGGTTGTTGGGCACTGACAGGCCTTGGAGGCTGGAAGATGAGTGCATTTCCTGAAGTTTCTTCACACATTGCTGATATTGGTAGACAGCTGAATAGCCCGAGGGCTGGTTGCATAATAAGAGTCAATGGCTGAGACCGGTTTTTACCTCGAGCTGGTCTTCCTAGTATGTACCAGGAATAGTAGTAACTGAACCATACACACCTTGTATACAGATACACAGGATATAAGATCCAAGCATCCAAATCTGACTCAAAAATTCCCACAAAATTAATACCTTCTCTAACCAAAATCATTTCCTTAACTAAATATGCAAGTGCAAAAATAACAATTGACTGCATAGTTAAATGCTGGGGGCAGATTCACTCCATAGCAGGAAGGATTTATGTCATGTGGTGCTGAGGTTGAGGTTGGGGGGTAGGAAGGATAGGACACTATGGCTTACCTCGCTGGTTCTGAAGATGAGGCGGTAGTTATACTGCTGGCCATGCTCCTTGTCTTCCTCCAGCTTCTCCCTGCGCAAGCTCACTGCCACTGGACCCAGTGCCTCGTCCATCCCAAAGTAGTTCCAGTGCTCTGAGGTGGAGAGAGAAATCAAACAAATATCAAACATTAATGCTTTAAAACACACATTCATATGCTAATGAGTGCATGTAATAAAGGCAGCTAAATTCATCTTACCCCTAAGGTAGAAGAACTTCCTGTAGTAGTACGCTCCCAGGTCCACATGCTCCACAATGTATTGTTTGCCCTTTTCGCTGAGCGTACTGGGGCCTTCCTTCGGCCCCTCTAGCACTGCTACTCCAGCGTTTGTGCAGTGCGTGCTCACAGATGTTTCATACATGCTTACTTCCCCAATCAGACTCTCTGAGCCACTGTTACCTGCTCCACCACCCACAAGCCCATGATACCCTGCCCCACCTGCTCCCAATCTGCGCCTCCCATTGCCATCAGCACCTATCTCATTGCGGAAGCAAGGGCAGCTTAGCAGCATTTCGTTGCTCTGTTCGTCCCCTGCATCCAGACCAGGACTGTCCCTAGAACTGAGCTCTTCCTGGCTGCCACTCGGGGAGCTGTAAGGCAGGCTGTGTGTGGACGAGAGGGTGGAGGTAGCAGAGGCTACAGCAGCAGCAGATGCCCCTGTGGTGGTGTTTTTCCTCTTGCCTGCAATCTGTCGCAACTGAGTAACTTCGTTGAGGTCAAACAGCATACTTTGAACATCGTAGTGGGCAAAGCCTTTCTGACACATCCAGGGCTTCAGAGGGGGGCCCATGTCCTCAGTCCGGCTGTCCTCTACGTCTGATCCCGCTCTGGGGGAATCCGACTCGCCTCGTACGTTGCGAAGTTTACGGAATATAGACTCACCCCCCGTCTCAGATTTAGTTCTTCTCTTTGGGGGCTTATCTCTGTCCTTGGATTTAGGAGGCTGGCTGTCTGTGGCGTCCTCCTGTAGATCAATGCTGGCCTGCTTGGGCCCAACATTCAGCATGTCCTCCAGTTTCTCTGGAGCAGGGCTACGCTGGTCAACTTTGTCCCCTTGATAGCCCTTAAGCATTTCAAAGAAGCTCTCTCCGGATGCACCATGCTGATTTATTGAGGAGGTGCTACCATATTCCCGATGAAGAGGGGACCATTTGGCTCCCGATGGAGGACCCCAGTCCTCTCCACTGTCTCCACTGCCGTCCATCTCACTGATAGTCATGTCACTGTTGCTGCGCTGACGGATGCGTCTCTGTCGTGGGTTTCTATGTGCTGGACCTCGGTAGTCTCCTGGGGCTAGGTAACGGGTGTCAGGGCTGTAGTTGTTAGCTGAAGCCTGGGTACGATTCTTCAAAGTGTTGTGGATGTTACGCAGCATTGACGAGTCCTGAGGGCTCATTATAGAGCCTAACTTAATGTGACTTTTTCCAGCAGAGGGAACGCTAGAGTTCTCAGGCTCTGTAGTTGAATGCCACACAACCCCTGCAATGTCTTTTCTTGGGGGCCAGTCAGCCACCCGAGCCCGTACACCCATTTTAGGCACTCCTGTGCTCACAGTGGCATGGACATTGTCTGTGCGGGTTGACATAGCCCCTCCATTCACCATACGGAGGTGGCGGGTGTAAAACTCATCAGTAGCGGGGATGGAACCCCCAACGGTGCGCTCCATGGGTGGGCGCTTCAGGCTGGTCATGACACCAGTGCCAAAGGCTAAAGGCACTTAACAGGGAGACATGGCTGCCTCTGGTATGGGATACAGCTCCCTGACCTCATGAGCAGGTTGATTGTCTTGATCCACAAGTGAAGAGGCAGAAAAATGGAAGGGGCAAGGCCACCTCTTCAGCACTCAAGCCTGCATACGGCTTCCTCAACTGTGTCGACACTGCTACTTGGCATGTTTCCTCCTGCAAACATATGATCCTGAAAAGAAACGAAAAATCTGTTAGTACACACACACACACAGGCACACACACACACACACACACACACAAACCTGCCTGCAGAACAGAATGTGGATGTTTTTTCCTCTGACGGCTTTTTGCGAGCCAGTGAAAAGTCACTGACACGTTCAATTTCCGATAAGGGGGCCTACTTTTCAAACCAATTTTGGAATAAGCATCGAGGGGGAAACATGAAAGCTCAGCCAAATTCAAAATGAGTTCAACAATGTGTGTCATTCTCTTTCTTAAAAGTCGGAACAAAATGATGCCTTTGCCGTAATCATTTAATTTAGCCAAAGAGAGTAGTAAAGATGACTTTGTTGGCAATTTTAATAAACCTGTTACGAACCTTATGTCATAAACAAGATTACATAATGGTGAGAAACAAATAATCTGGATATATCAATGAACTTCATTCTCTTCAGATGGCATACCTCTAAACCTCCCTCTGTCACTGACTGTTGGTGTCTGACATGCCCCTTAGTAACTACCATTATAAATGAATGTGAATTGTAATGCCGAGTTTAAGTTTTCTCAAATATCCCCAGCTGCACATCAAAAAGCAAAGGGGGCCTTCGAAAGTCATCTGAGAAGTGAGTGATGATCCTCTGCCTGACAAATCGGGCCAATTTGGCAGTGAGACAGTGGGGGAGATTAAGGCTCCACTCTCAGTCAGCCTTGCCTGGCTGTGGCTGTGATCACATTAGCCACCAGCAATCAGTGCACTGTGACGGGCCTACAGCGCAGGCACCTTCACACTGCATCCAACAGCAGGGTCAACTTTATGCTAACTAAGAGAGAAGACATTCAACTTTGCTTTTAACAATAAAAGTAATCAATGATTGCTGCATGTTTAAAAGTTAAAGACATGAATAGGTGCATTATACCATGTGACCAACATTACCACAGTGGCACAGTTAACTGAGAGAGTGTTCCCTATACAATGCAGTTTATTTGATAATACTTCATTAATACACATATGGTATGGTACAGGTATGGCAGTAGCTTCATATCTTGTAGGAAATTAAAACTGGTATACCGGTTCATCAGGTATGTCTCCCAGCACTACTAACAGGCACAATTCCTGTTCTAGTCCAACAGTGTGTTGAACTGTTATTTGGTCTGCAGTAAAATTATGCTCCTATTTATTACAACTGTTAATGCCACAAACATAAAGCAGCAGTGATCAGGGTCCTCAAACAAGAAATTCATTATAGAGGGTTTCATATGGAGCCTTATTTGTTAACAACAGTCTGATAATAAGCTGATAAGAAAATTCCCCGCATAATACCATCAAATGAAATGGACAGGGCTATGTTCTGATTCACATTCAGGATATATACAGTAACAGCTTCATGGGTACATGACATTAAATCTTAAGCCATAAAGAAATGAAAATTAGATGAAAGCGAATATCGCCACTGTGATCTTTCATCTGTCACACAAGGACGGTTCTTGACTGTTACACTCCTCTAATGAATGGACACTATTCTTCGGGGCATGGGAGTAAGTGTCTAGAGCAGATTAATAAAAACTCATTAAGTAATTAAAAAAAAACCTCATTCATGTCCTACTAACACCCTAATTTCTCTGACATGAATAAGAGTGAAAATAGTCAGGGAATGTAAGTTAAACTGCAGGTCCAGTCCCAGAGTGTTGGGCCTCATTCCCTCAAGCTGCTGAGTGTCCACAGGGACAGACAGAAGAATAGAAGCAACACACACAACACGCATGCGCGCGCACACGTACACACACACACACACACACACAAGCACAGGAGCGCGTGTCCCAGAAAACAGGCCTCTAATCTCCTCTCTGACGGACATGCAGACAGACGACTGGCTTCACGGTCTTTAGAGATTAAAGTGAAGAGTGTGGCATAGAGACTGAGCGAGTGTGTCTTGTGTAGGTTGGTGTGACAGAGAGACAGACTGGGAGGAGCTAGGAGCAACATAAAAAAAAAAAAAATAACCCGAACATAACACAATCTCCCGCCAACCCATCCTGCCATCCTCTGTCCATGGCCTGCAGATTTAAACAGGGAAATTTTTTTCACAAGTCTGTGGGACATGTCCAAACAGCTTGAGCCTGTTGACTAAATGAGGTTAACTTCCTGTAATTGGGGCCCTGACCTCCCAGCTGGTCCGTCAGGCCCGTTGAGAGATGAGCAAAGCGCTGGTACGGCTGCAGACGAAGGGCTGCTGATATCATGGCACACCTCTGAGGTGCTACAATTTGTCCTTCTGGATGTAGAGTCCAGACACAGACAACTGTGCTCTGACAGAGTAACATGCTCCTATGAGGACTCAGCTTGCATGTGTTACAGGTGACTCAGACAGCGAGTCCCTCAGACATCTTGTGACAAATCACATACACACACACATAATAAATGGCATTACAGGTAGAAGACAGACAGCATTCAAGTAGGCAGGATGACGATGAATCAGAAACATGAACCCTGGGTCTGAGTCTTTCAAATCTGACTCACATAAATCAGAGCAACTAAAAGAACAAGTCCTTAGTCATCATCAATACACAGCATGGGGTGATACACACACTCAAAGCCAGGGCCTCCTAGAGGGGGAGCACTGTTGCTGAGCTGGCTTGGCTAGTTGGTGTCCCAGAAAGAAAGGACAACATGCTGGAGTTGAAAGACTCTTCGTCCTGGGTCTCCAAACAGAGGGAGAATGAAGTTTCCCAGTAGACTGGGCAAGTGTCTCCAAAGCTGAGACAAAGGAACCGAGGGATTGCCCTACAAGCTTGTAATTACTGCGTGCTTCAATGGGGCTAAGGGGCTGTTTGGCTGACACCACTGGCTTTCGAACAGGCACCCTACCATTTAGCCCATTGGCTTTCCCTGTCTCCTAATCTTCCCCTGCTCTAAGGGCTGACTGGGCTGTTGGGCAGCAGGCACAAAGGTCCCTCTGTCCTGGCTTGGGCAAGACTGGGGCCCCATTCCAACATAGTGAAGTCTTTGAAAATCGCCTGGCACGGGAACCTCACTACGGCTGTGTATATGAGGCCTGCCAGGAAAACCAAATTAATTAGATTCAAGGGGAACTGGAGAGATAGAGATGAAGCAAACACTGAACCAGAATTTGGAAACAAGAGAAACAGAAGCATCAAAGAACTGAAAGGATATATTTGTGATGAGCACAGGAAGGCAGAAGAAGAAGGCTCACCCGGACAGGAAAAGGCTTACAACAAGAAGCAGAAAATTATCAGTGTTGAGCTTTGTGTGAGAATCATATCAGGATAATTTGGCTGTTCTGTAATCCACAGACTCACTGTTGCAACACATATCTTTGTTACAAAACAAACAGATGACAGAGATCTGTGGTAAGTAACATTGGAAAAACCTTTCTTTTTTGAGGAAGTTTGTATAAATGACCATGAAAGCAGCAACTGGAGTTCAACTCTTCCACAGTGAGCAAGCTTTCCCACAAAGCTGTGCACCGGCCCAATATTCTGCTGTAACGATAATTCCACTGACTCCTACAACAGCATCATTTTTAGGAGTGAGGGGTAAAAGTCTCTACACATCCACTGAGCTACAGCCTAACCACGGCTGCCCACAGGCACAACAGATACACAGGAAGTAACAAAGCCCTGTCCTCTGTCTCCATCTGCTTTGCTCTTTTTTTACTCCGTCTGCTCCCTCCTCCTGTACGTGCATCTGGCTGAGAACCAGGCACAAACCTGCCCGTCTGATTGAGCAAACCTGAGAACCTGACGCCTTCAGAGAAAAAACAGGCAGGCCTGCTGGCAGACAAACGATACTAACATCACCCAACCGCGAGCTGAGATCCTGGAATTCCACCAATTTCAGTGCAGGAAGTGATGAACGTCTGTATGGCGGAGGGGGGGAGAAGTAGGGCATGTTCAGGCAAACTCTGCAAGAGAAGTGCAACACTGACTGTCCAAGTGCTAGTCTGTTAGAAAACACTTTAAAGTCTGCCATGACTTTACAATGACAGGCTTGTCTTCTATCTCTGCAGTCAACTTCTACTGAGAGCTTTCATCTATGAAATACCAGCCCTGGGTGAAGCGGGATACCGCAATAACATGAGAACTGAACCGACGAATTGTTCAACTGACCACGCATGCAAAGCAAACACCACGTGTAGTTGGAGCACTTCAAAAAACCAGTGGCGGTGTATCGACGTTAATCATCACCATTGTTCTGTGATGTGTCGCTGCTCTGCCCCAACTCTGGGCCCCTCGCTATCACTGCGGCACAGTTCAGTGAGTAATGTGCATAGCTAACCACTGGCAAAGTGAATTTCACTCACAGCCTTATACAAGAAGACAGTTCTGGAGGAGCGCCAGAATATATTCATTGCCATTATCTCTAGCAGGGTGTCCTCGATCCTTCCTCTCTTCTTATCCAGAAAGTACTCCACCAGGGTTTCACATATAATGTGAGAGAGACAGGAGGATAAATAGACACTTGAAACACTTGACATAGTTTATAGTTTGTAATGGTAAACTCATTCCTATTTTCAATGTCATTATCTGGGTGGGCCAGGAGTTGGACAATGAAAGCCTTTGTCCAACTCCTTGAGGGCCTTCTACCTCTAAGGAAAAAATCTAATTGCACTGCTAACAGCTTAGCTTAGGTGGTCTGCTTGTCTAGGGTAAAGAAGGGTTACTACTTCTTATACTCTAATCTATCAGCTGCCCCGTCAAAAATAAAAAGATGAAAAGTCCACAGTCTTAAAACGGGCTTATATTCGATGGAAAACCATCAGCAACAGTCTGCACAGACGTTTTACCCCTTCATGGTCCATAAATACATTAATCTACAGAGGCCGAGCCAGAGTTGGTTTAGAGCCTCATATCTGACATGAAGTTATAGATGACTTGTCTTTACTGAGAAGGCTCAGATTTAAGCTCATCAGCTTTTAAAAGTTGTGCGCTGTAAAGAGCAATGGAGAGGAAGCAGTGTGCTGCTGCCTGAAGAAGAATGTAAAAAATTCT